ACAGAGGTAGATCACCCAGCTCTTCGAGTCTTTTAACCACAGAATTAGATCAAAACTGATCTGTACCTCAAAACCATAATCCAGCTTTATTTCATATCCATTTACTGAAACATGATCAGCTGAAGATTTAAATAAACAGCATTTTAAGATTCATGTTTAAATGTTCTTCAAAATGATGGATACCTTACATCCATCTTCACCAACACAGAACTGATAATCATCAGCTACAAAGTGCTTTAGAACAGCCTGAAATCAAGAAAGGTGCTATACAAATGCAAGTTCCTTTTTCTGTTTCACTAACTTTACAGGACAGCCCCATCTAGAGCCTGGATGCATTAGTGATCTTAACTGAATAATAAGGTAAATGTAAAATTGATTTCTTCATTATTTTTGCAACCTAGGATTAATATATAAGAGGAATTGTATTAGTTCTATGAAGGGTAATTATGTGATATCTAACTGTTATCGAAGGACCTCTCGTTATGGCTTCGTCCACTGTCCTGCTTTATAGAGAAAGAAACTGAATATGAACTGGTAGGTGTTTATATATTGACAAACTAAAAGGAACTTGATTACGCTCATAAAATAACAATTATTTTTCACAAATTGAAATGGAATCAAAGCACAAAGGTTACATTTCCAATATTTTTTATTTATTATTTCATAGGTTGCGATGTCATTTGCAAGGCTAATTATTCTCAAACTAAGTGTTACTAGACCATTTCAGAGGGCAGTTAAGAGTCAACCACATTACTGTGAATTTGCAATAACACATTGACTATGTTGCAGTATTGGAGATAGATCCCAGAGCAGACAGGCAGTGTACCTTAGATAGTATTGTGACATATGATGTTCCAGTATGAGTAACAGTAACAGTAATAATACCAGTGGCTTGCTCGCAGTTACTATATCATTGTTCTAACAAATAGATAAGCACTGAACCTGGACTATGTGGAAGACTGAAATGCTATAGCAGTGAAAACTGTTAGTGTTGTTAATAAACATCAAGACATCTGTCTCAATAAGAACCCAGTCTTCATGGCAGATGTTAACAAAGGGAACACACAGCCATATCATACTGACATTGGTGTTTTACCCTAAAACCACATTGCACTGGCAGCTGGTTGCTAATATCAATGATAGAAGTTGTGAAAAATAATCCTAAGAGTCAGTAAAGATCAGCGCAACAACTTTCACTGAATTCAAGGTAAGGTTTACAAGCAGCAACAAGTAGGACCAAAATGTTCCAACCCATTCTGAGCATCAGTAACCTCTACGGACAAACAGCATTTGTAAGTACTCTATTCAAAAAAATGGGAGTATATCCAGCATTTTTGCATTTAAAAATGCAATCTCTCCAGGAGATTAGCAAATCAGGCCAAATGCCAGACTATCACAAGGACATATAATCATAAAGCATGAAAATAGACCCTTCGGCCCTACTTGTCCATGTCGACCAAGTTTCCTAAACTGAATTAGTCCTATTTGGCAGCATTTGGCCCATATCTCTCTAAACCTTTCCTATCCATGTACTTGTTCAAATGTCTTTTAAATACTGTAATTGTACCCACCTCTACCACTTCCTCTGGCAGCTCATTTCATGTATGAACCATCCACAATGTGAAAAAGTTGCCCCTGAGCTCCCTTTTAAATATTTCCCTCTCAACTTAACCCTATGCCCTTTAGTTTTGGACTCCCCTACCTTAGGGAAAAGACATTGGCTAATCACCCTAACCATGCCCCTCACTATTTTATAAACCTCTGTAAGTTCAGCCCTCAGCCTTCGACACTCCAGAGAAAAAAGTCCCAGTCTATCCGGACTCTCCTTACAACTCAACCTTCCAGTCTTGGTAACATCCTTGTGAATCTTTTTGGCATCCTTTCCAGTTTAATAACATCCTTCCTATATAGCAGGGTGAACAGAATTGTACGCAGTACTCCAAATGTGGCCTCACCAATCTCTTGTTAAGCTGTAACATGATGCCCCAGCTCCTATACTCAATGTCTGATCCTGTCTACCTGTGATGCCACTTTCAAGCAACTATGTACCTGCAAACCTGAGGTCTCTCTGTCCGACAACACTCCCCAGGGACAGATCATTAACTGTGCAAGTCCTGTCCTGGTTTGTGCAAGGTAGTCAGTCCTCCAACAATCTTCAAGCAGAATGACCCTCAGGCAAAAAGATCCTTAGGAAAAAGTGATCGTCAAACAAAGTGATCCTCAGGCAAAGTGATCCTGTGGCAAAATACAGGCTGAGTAGCAGGAAAGAAAGTATTTTCTGCGCTGCTAAGGTCTTTCCTGCATCCAGACATCAGTCAGTTTGGCCATGGGTTGGCGTGGGAAGCTACAATTTTTTTACTATTAGTTATGATTTGCCATCATTTGTTAGCCAGAGGGCAGTTAAAAATCAACCACATAGTTGTGGGCCTGTTGTCACATGTAGACTAGACAAAGTAAGGATGGGCACTTTCCTTCCCAAATGCACATGAGTGAAACAAATGGGATTTTCTTGACAATTGACATGTTTATCGTTACACCTTTAGATTCTTACTGAATTCAAATTCCACCATCTGCCATTGCAGGATTTTAACCATGGTCCCAGAACAATATCTGGGTCTACGGATTAATAGTGCAGCAATAAAACACTAGACCATCACCTCCCTCTATGCAATGTTACTTTTTTTCTCTATCTCTCTCCTTTCTTAATTCATTCTTTCCTTACTTTATTTTATTTTTGTTTGATATTGAATTCATTGCTTCCAACTCAGTTTCCTGCTTGGTCCTTCTATTTCTTATTAACATAATCACATGGGTTACATCATTCACTGATGTCCTGTTGTCAGCCACAGAATCCCTACAGTGTGGAAACAGGCCCTTCGGCCCAACAAGTCCACACCGACCCTGAGAGCATCCCCCTATAACCCACCTAATCTAACCCTCCCTGAACACTACGGGCAATTTAGCATGGCCAATCCACCTAGCCTGCACATCTTTGGACTGTGGGAGGAAACTGGAGTATTTGGAGGAAACCCACACAGACACAGGGAGAATGTGCAAAGTCCACACAGACAGTCACCTGAGGGTGGAATTGAATCTAGGTCCCTGATGCTGTGAGGCAGCAGTGCTAACCACTGAGCCACCATGCCACCCTCACCATGTTATTCTTAGCTCATATTTCCAATAAGTCACAGAGTAAAGCAGGCAGATCTAAAGAGTGTCGAAAATGTCTAACTGAGCAAACCATGCATGATCTGCTCCAGCGCGTATTTAACTCATTCGGGATTAAATGATTTCATTTTCAAGCAATGCCGATGTTTATTTGTGCAATTCGTAACTTTGAAGTTTACTGAATCATGGCACAGAGATTTTTAAAACTCTACGGCATGACTAACGTCCCTATTCTACGTAAATCAGATCAGTCCAGGAACAACAGTGTTAAAGATGAAATGAGATTAATTGTATTGTTTGGAACTAATTGGAGCTCTTTAATTTTTAAAGGCTATCCGTGATTTAAAGTTGGGAGGAGATTGACTCTAAACAGAGTGCCAACACTGATACCCAATACTGCACCAAGTCACCCTCACTCACTGCACTTGTCAATTTCTCTCTTGTTGACTCCTCAACCATCAATTTGCTGATTCAAAGCCCCACATCTCACCTTCTAATCCTTTCACATTTTCTCCTTGCTGACTTTGCAACCGATGTCTCATTCTTCTGGACATGCGTGCTTTCTTTCTCCAACACTCATATCCCTGCTGCCCCCACCAGCATGCCATGGCCTCAGCAACATCAGCTCTGCTCATAAACTCTCCTCACTTCATAAAGTCTTCACACTCTTGTGGTCACTTCCCAAATGCCTCAATTTCACTACATCTCACCAGCCTCGAAACTTCCCTTCAAGTTTACTTGATTTTTTACTGTTTTAGAGCCATAGAGATTTACAGCATGGAAACAGGCCATTCGGCCCAACTTGTCCGTGCCTCCTAGTTTTCACAATTAAACTTGTCCCTTTGCCTGCATTTGGTCCATATACCTCCATTCATGTACCTGTCTAAATGTTTCTTAAATGATGAAATTGTACTCACCTCCACTACTATCTCTGGCAGCCTGTTCCAGTCACTCAACACCCTCTGTGTGAAAAGATTGCCCTTCTGGACCCTTTTGTATCTCTCCCCTTAAACCTATGCTCTCTAGTTTTAGACTCCCTTACCATGGGGGAAACCTGTTGGCTATTTACATTATCCATGCCTCTCTTAATTTTATAGACCTCTATTAGTTCACCCCCTCAGTCTCCTACGCTCCAGGGAAAAAAGTCCTGGCCTATGCAATCTCTCCTTATAATTCGAACTTTCTAGTCCAGGCAGCATCCTGGTATTTTCTTTCTGCACTCTTTCTAGTTTAGTAATATCTTTTCTATAGTAGGGGAATCAGAATTGCACGCGGTATTCCAAATGTGGCCTCACCAATGTCTTGTACAGCTGCAACAAGCTTACCTGCTCCTTCTGCAACCCATGTTAGGTCCTTGCCATATTCCTGACAATTTTCAGTCCCCTCCCTTATCTATAAAGCCCCTTTCTAAACCACTCACTAAAGGTTCCAGATGAGTACATGTTATTGTGGTTGTTGCTGGGGTATTTAATTACGCCACCTTCTGGCCCTGGGCAACACGTGCTTGCACATTATATCATTTTGAAAATATCCAGCCGCAATTTACTGAATTCCAACAGAAGGAATTAAACCAGTGGTGAATGTATTTAGCAGTGAATGTATTGTGTTTCTTTTTTTTTTGAAGAAAGCTTTAAAGGATTTTCTCTCCCTAACGTTTAAGTTTTAATCGTCCCTGCCTCTTGTCAGTTCAGGAGTGTGGGCGTGCTCCGTTTGAAAGGGACTGGCAGCAAGTGAAGGAGGGACGGGAAAGTCATTCTTAAAAAGTTGCAGACCAGCTGCAAGGCAGAGATCTTGCAGGAGTCGCAGGCACAGGGAGTGCTGGAGCGACAAAGATGCAGCTGCCTTGCTCCCTTACACTTGTAACCACCTTGTTCTGCTTTACCATGCTGATGTCTGTCAGAGGCGAGCCGATCTTCAAGAAGAGGGATCATTCCGACACACAGCTTCAGAAGCACCAAGCCCCCCGTATCCTCACTATCCGAACTGCAGAGGTGAGAGAGAGAAGCCACTTTTCCCAGTGCTGATTTACAAGGGACGTGACAAGGACAGCAGGAAGCTAGGCTCGGATCATCTTTCTAAAATTGTATCAGCTTACTACAAGGCAGCAAGGCTCCAGTATCTGCGAGCTGGAGAGATTGTCCATTTTATTGTAGTTTTGTCGCTGGCTACTGGATTTGTCTGAGGTTTTCGATGCTAGTCGAGATATGCATTGACCCATTTTTGACATGTAGAATTGTGTTTTATTTAGATGCAGGATTCTGGGGATCTGAGCAACTAGGTACCGGGACTGAAGTTATACTGCGCTTGGAGCAGCAATGACACTGCTAACTGCAACCTGCTAGTAATGATTGACATAGAGTTTATCCTGTAGACACTTTGTCTCTCTTTGCGGTGTATCTCTGGTCAGGTATGCCCTATGGATAAAATGTATCTGTCTCTTTGTGGTTTATCTCTGGTCATGTATGCCCTTTGGGTAAAATGTGTCTGTGAAAGTTTAGGAGTAAAATCCCTTTCATTTGAACAGGTGATAGACTTTATTGGAAGATCTACCCCCTCCAATCAGGTGACTTCCTGTTAAGACATTGTCTCTGTCAGGATCAACAGAATCCTGCATACCCCTCTTCACATTAACCATTGCTCAAACCTGATTCTGTCTTCAAAGACCACTGACACATAACTTCAGCAAGAAATCAACACTTGACAATCAGCATCTACCAGGTGCCTCACGCCAAAACTGGTCTGTGTCTGCCTCCAGCTGACAATAACTCGACTAAACCTTCCAGCAATAGTGGCTAATTAAGCAGTGACAGACAATCTGAGGAAGGGACTTACGTAAATTTGTTTTACCAGCTGAGCAACTGAGGAAAACTGAATGACCTTTCCTCCTCATTCTGTATCTAGCCTTTATTTGTCCTGACTCAAACAGCTTACGTCTCCAAATTTGGATGGGGGTCTCCAGATCCACAGCAATGTGATTGCCTGTGAATGCTGGAGACAGCTGTCCAATCCAAATGCTGGCCTTTCCAGCAATGCTCATGTCTCGTGAAAGAATAACAAAGAAATGGCAGCACCAGGAATCATAGAAATCCGACAGTGCAGAAGCAGGCCAGTGAGTCCACAACAACTCTCCAAAGAACCCAGCCCCAGCACCCCCTACCATCTCCCATAACCCCACATCGACTACGGTTAATCCACCTAGCCTACATATCCCTGGGCACTATGGACATTCTCAGTATGGCCAATCCACCCAACCTGCACATCTTTGGACTGTGGAAAGAAATCAGAGCACCCAGAGGAAACCCATGCAAACCCAGGGAGAACATGCAAACTCCATACAGTTGCCCAGGCTGGAGTTAAACTCAGGTCCCTGGCACTGTGAGGCAGCATGCCAACCACTGAAACACCGCTGAGCCACTCATAACCACTGAGCCACCATGCTGCTCATAACCACTCAGTCACCATGCCGTTCATAACCACTCAATCACCGTGCTGCTCATAAAATGTTAGAGATGTCGGAGATGTTGATAAATGTTTGCTCAGGAGATTAAATAGATGATTAAAGGACATAACAGGCAGTTTGCTCTGAAGAGCTCTGAAAGATTTGGACTCAATAGAAAGTATGGCCCTGTTTTAGAAACTCAACAAGATTGGCACAGAATTACACAACTGGACTTAAGTGGGACCTTGTCACACCCCTCAGAAATGTCCTAATAGGGATTTAGCACACCCAGAACATAGCTGGGAATTCAAATCTGAAGACCATTGAGACACACCTAACATGAACAGGAGGTTCACAGAACTGTCACAGTGGAAAATGTCGATTTGGTCCATCATGCCTGAACTGGCTGTCTGAATGAGCATTTCACTTTGTGCCATTCCCTTGCTTTCTCCCAGTAAGCGTGCATGTGAACCGCCTCCATCACACTCTCAAGCAGTGCATTCCAAACTCTAACTGTTCACTGTGTGAAATAGGTTTCTTTCATGTCACTTCTGTTTCTTTTGCCAAATACTTTAAATCTATGTCCTCCTGTTCTTGACCCTTTCACCAATGGGATCAGTTTTCCTTACCCACTCTGCCCAGATTCCTCATGATTTTGAAAACTTCCACCAAATTTCCACTAAGTCATCTCTCCTCAAGGGAAGAGAATGCTAACTTCTCCAAACTTTCTCCTTAATTGAAGTTCCTCATCTCTGAAACCAGCTTCATGAATCTTTTCTGCACTTTCTCTAATGCCTTCCTGTTCTTCCTAAAGTACAATATCCTGAATTGGATGCAATACTCCAGATGAAGTAAAGTATCTTATACAAATTCAACACAATCTCTTTTTAATTCTTCATGGGACATGGGCATCACTAGCGTTTATTGCTCATTCCTAGTTGCCCTTGAGAAGGTGGTGGTGAGCTGCCTTCTTGAACTGCTGCAATCAGTTTGATGTAGGTAAACCCACAATGCTGTTCGGGAGAGAGTTCCAGGATTTTGACCCAGTGATATTGAAGGAACGGTCCAAGTCAGGATGGTGAGTGGCTTGGAGGGAAACTTGATAGTGGTGGTCTTCCTGTGTATCTGCTGCTCCTGTCCTTCTAGATGTAGTGGTCGTAAGTTTGGGAAGTGGTGGCTAGGGAATTTTGGCTTGGTGAATTTTTGCAGAGCTAACTTATTGATGGTGCACACTACTACTGCTGAGTGTCGGTGGTGGAGGGAGTGGATGTTTGGCAATGGAATGACAATCAATTGGGTTGCTTTGTCCTGGATGGTGTAAACCTTCTTGAGTGTTGTTCTTGTACTCTCTTGGATATTGTAAGCTTTATTAATAACTTGTAGGCTGTCCTGCCACCTTTGGTAGCTTTGGCACATACACAACCTGGTTTCTCTACTCCTGCATGCCCTTTAGCGATGTACCCTTTGTTTTACATGGTTCCTCCATGTTCTTTCTAACAAAATGAATTGCTTCACATTTTTCCACACAGTGCTTCATTTGACACCTGTCCCACCATTCCATCAACTCACCTATGTCTTTTTGAGTTCTAAACTATCTTCCTGACAGTTTATAATGCTTCACATTTTGTACCGTTCACAAATATTGAAAGTGTGCCCTGTACACTGAGGTCAAGGTCATTAATAACCCTCGGAAACAGTAATGTTCCTAACAATGAACCCCAAGGAAACTCCACTCCAAACTCCATCCCAAAAATACTCATTAACCACTGGTCTATGTTTCCTGTCACTGACCCAAATTTTGTCCTACCTATAACTCAACTCACAAATCTGTTGGACAGCATTGTATCAAATGTCTTTTTGATGACCATGTACAGCACATCAACAGCATTGTCCTCATCAACTCTCTCTGTTCCATCTCCAAAAGAGTTCAATAAGTTGATTAAACATGATTTGTCCTCACAAAATCCACTCTGGCTTACCTTCATAAGCCCACATTTATCCGTGCAACTATTAATTTTGCCCTGAATTATTCTTTCAAGACGTTTACCCTTTGAAAATTTAATGCAATTAGTCTGTAGTTTCTGGGCTTATCCTTTCACTCTTTTTCAGACCAACAGTGCAACATTTATAATTCTCCAGTCCCTTACCACTGCAGCCTGAGTCTAAGGAAAAATCAAAAAGTTCCTCCACAATGTCCATTACTTTCAGTAATCTTGGATATATTTCATCTGCTCCCAGTGCCTTATTGACCTAAGTACAGATATCCTAAAGGGATATTCCAAAGGGATCAAAGGATATGGGAAGAAAGCAGGAATGGGATATTGAGTTGGATGATCAGCTATGATCATATTAAATGACAGAGCACGTTTGAAGGGCTGAATCTCCTCCTGCTCCTATTTTCTGTGTTTCCATATTTTAAACCAATACCTCCTCTTTATCACTTGTACACTTTTCCTGTATCTGAATTTCCTCCTCATTCTCTTTGGTCTCTGTAGCATCTTTTACCTTGGTAAAGGCAGATGCAAAGTATTCATTTAATAGAGTGACACAGTGGTTAGCACTGCTGCCTCACAGCACCAGAGATCTGGGTTTGTTTCAGTCCTGGGGTGACTGTCTGTTTGGAGTTTGCACATAATCCCCATGTCTGTGTGGCTTTCTTCCAGGTGCTCCAATTTCATCCCACTGTCCAAAGATGTGCAGACTAGGTGGATTGGCAATGGGAATTGCATGGTTACGGGTCTGCTTGGGATGCTCTTCAGAGGGTTTGTGTGGAGTCAATGAGCCAATGGCCTGCTTCCACACTGTAGAGATTCTGTAGCTCAGCTCTACCAGTTTCAAATCCCTTTTCAATTATTAAACAGTCTTATACCCCCTTTACCACTTGTTTACTATTTACATACCTATAGAAGACTTCAGAATTACCTTTTATGTAAGCTGCCGTTCTGTTTTCATTCTCACTGTTAGCTTCTAACATTTGTTTTATCATCTCCACTCTCAACCCTTTTATATTTACCTTGCTTCCCAGTTGTGAGTTCTGTCTGGCATCTGTAATAAACACATATTTTCTTCCATTATCATCCACGGTGCTCTGGATTTGTTTGTACTACCTTCCCCTTTGAGAGAATATACCTTGACTGTGCCTGGACTACCTTTTCCCTGAAGGCAACACAGCGTTGTTACCATTTTCCCTCCCGATCTCTCACTTTTGTTTACGTGACCTATTCCATTCTTTCTCCTTTAAAGTCAGCTTTTCCCCAGTTAATTATTCCTCCTCTGCATTATTGTTTGACCTTTTAAGCAGACAACCTAAATCTTATCATACGATGACCCCTTTCCCCAAAATGTTCTCTCACAGATACTTGATCCACTTGGCCTAGCTTATTCCCATCGGACTGGAAATGTATTGTTCTAGAAAATTCTCCTAAACATACTCTAGGGGCTCTTTCTCCTCCCTGTCATTCACAATACGACTATCCCAGTCTATTATCAGACAGTTAGTCTCCCATTACAAGCACAGTATAGTTTTTGTAGCTTTTTCCTGCACATTTGTTCCTCTACATCTTGCTCATGAGTTTTAGGCTAGAGATAGCATTGACAACAGAATTCTAGCTCCATTTATTCCTGATATGTGTACATAAGAAACTATAGAGAGTTGTGAACACAACCCAGTCCATCATGCAAACCAGACTTCCATCCATTGACTCCATCTATACTTCCTGCTATCTTGGGAAACATTAAAGACCCCTCCCACCCCAGTTATACTGTCTTCCATCCTCTTCTGTCAGGCAGAAGATACAACAATTTGAATACACATACGAATAGATTCAAGAACAGCTTCTTCCCCCCTGTTATCTGACTTTTGAACAGACCTCTCAAATGTTAATTCTGATCTCCCTCTCTCTGCACCTTCTCCAAAGCTACAACACTGTGTTCTGCACTCTGTCCTGCTACCATACTTTGTATGGTATGATCTGCCTTTATAGCACGTAAAACAACATTTTTCCCTGTATCTCGGTACATGTGACAACAATAAATCAATCAATCATTATTCATTTTTAAAAAACCTCTTCAAAAGCAAAATTAAGCTTGTTTCACTGTTAAAATGTTCTCCCTGCAGGAATATTTAACAAAGTTTGGCTGGGGTGAGCCCATTGACTGGGGACATCAAGTTTCAGGGAGGGACACAGCTCCACAAGAGAAAAACCCTGCTCCCCAAGATGTGCCTCAGCTCATGACTGAGGGGACCTCTGGAGAGTCTGACACAGAGGAGCCCACCGACAAACTTTCTTACCTTCACAATCTCAAGGAATTCCAGAAAGCCAATGGCCTGGACCCCACCGGAGTCCTGGACAATGCCACCCTCAATGTAATGAACATGCCTCGTTGTGGAGTGCCCGACAAAGTGCTGCTGGTAAATAGCTCGCTGTCCAACACAACCTCACAGAACAAGTCAGACAGCACTCTGACTGAAAGCATGGGACCTGGCTCCAACAGCACCAGGCCAAAGTCTATCCGGAAGAAGCGTTTCCTTGCCGATCTGGTGGCGCACACCAGGGCAAAGCGAGACAGCCGAGATGCCCTGGGAAGGGCAGCCAGTAGCCTCGGGTTCTCGAAGAGAAAGTTGAAGTGGCGCCTGATGGATGAGGCTTTCACCATCCAAATGAGCATCGAGCAACAGAAGAATGTCCTGAGGCTGGCCTTCCGCATGTGGAGTGAGGTCACCCCGCTGGAGTTTGAGGAGGACTTGGTTTCTCTTCCCGCTGACATTGACATTAAACTTGGCTTTGGAACAGGTAAAGCTAAACTTTAGGCTTGTGAGCTTGTGAGTAGTTACACGCGTTGTAGAGTGAATATCTGATTACAGTCGTCTCCTACAAGCTAGAAATTTGCAGAGTAACTGCAAATGGTTGTGGAATCCCTCGGTGAAGGAAAAATAGAGAGTGGGGAATAGAACATAGAACATAGAACAGTACAGCACAGTACAGGCCCTTCGGCCCACGATGTTGTGCCGAACTTTTACCCTAAACCTAAGGTCTATCTAACCTCCACCTCTACCTTATACTATCATCCATATGCCTATCTAATAGACGCTTAAATGCCCCTAATGTGGCCGACTCCACTACCCTCTCCGACCAACCTCCCGTCATTGTTAGAGACATAGGGATGTGCAGCACGGAAACAGACCCTTTGATCCAACTCATCCATGCCAACCATGTATCCTACATAAATCTAGTGCCATTTGCAAGCATTTTGCCCATAACCCTCTAAACCCTTCCTATTCATACATCCTCCAGATGCTTTTTAAATGTTGTAATTGTACCAGCCTCCACCACTTCTTCTGGCAAATCATTCCATACACGCACCACCTTCTGCATTAAAAAGTTGCCCCTTAGGTCCCTTTTATATCTTTCCCTTCTCACTTTAAACCTATGCCCCTCTAGTTTTGGACTTCCCCACTCTGGGGAAAAGAACTTGCCTATTTACCCTATCCTCATGATTTTTTCAGCCTCTATAAGGTCATAGCCACCTACGTTCCAAAGAAAATAGCCCCAGCCTATTAAGCCTCTCCTTATATTTCAAACCCTCCAAGCCTGGCAACATCCTCGTAAATCTTTTCCGAACCCTTTCTAGTTTCACAATATCATTCCTATAGGAGGGAGACCAGAATTGCATGCAATATTCCAAAAGTTGCCAAACCAGTGTTCTGTCCTGCCGCAACATGACCTCCCAACTCCTATATTCAATGCACTGACGAATAAAGGCAAGCATGCTAAACACCTTCTTCACTATGGAGATGGTAAGGACTGCAGATGCCGGAAGCTAGAGTCAATAAATGTGAGGCTAAAAAGCACAGCAGGTCAAACAGCATCCGAGGAGCAGGGAAGCCACTGTTTCAGGCTGATCTACTGACAAAGGGTTTCAGGCCTGAAAGATTGACTTTCCTGCTCCTCAAATGCTGTCTGACCAGTTGTGCTTTTCCAGCTCCACATTTATCGCTTTCTACACTATCCTATCTACCTGCGATTCCACTTTCAAGGAATTGTGAACCTGCACTGCAAGGTCTCTTTGTTCAGCAAAACTCCCCATGACTTTACCATTAAGTGTATAAGTCTTGCCCTGATTTGCCATTCCGAATTGCAGCACCTCAAATCAATCTAAATTAAACTCCATCTGCCACTCCTGAGCCCATTGGCCTATCTGATTAAGATCCCGTCATATTCTGAGGTAACCTTCTTCGCTGTCCACTACACCTCCAATTTTAGTGTCATCTGCAAGCTTACTAACCATACTCCCTATGTTCACATCCAAATCATTTATATAAATGATTTATATAAACCGCTGATCACAGGCCTCCAGCCTGAAAAGCTACCCTCCACCACCACCCTCTTCTACCTTTAAGCTAGTTCTGTATCCAAATAAGGGATAACACCTTGTTATCTTAGATTCTCCAGCATCTGCAGTTCCTACTATCTCTATATCCAAATGTCTGGTTCTCCTTGTATTCCATGTTATCTAACCTTGCTAACCAGTCTACCATGAGCAACCTTGTCGAACATCTTATTGAAGTCCATATAGATCACATCCACCACTCTGACCCCATCAATCCTCTTTGTTACTTCTTCAAAAAGCTCAATCAAGTTACTGAGACATGATTTCCCACGCAAAAAGCCATGTTGACTATCTCTAATTAGTCCTTGCTTTTCCAAATACATGTAAATCCTGTCCCTCAGGATTCACTCCAACAACTTGCCCATCACCAATCTCAGGCTCACTGGTCTATAGTTCCCTGGCTTTTCCTTTCTTAAATAGTGGCACCACATTAGCCAACCTCCAGTCTTCTGGCACCTCACCTATGGCTATAGATGATACAAATATCTCAGCTAAGGGCCCAGCAATTTGGGCGGCACGGTGGCTTAGTGGTTAGCACTGCTGCCTCACAGCGCCAGGGATCCTTGGGCACCTGTCTGTGTGGAGTTTGAACATTCTCCCCATGTCTGCGTGGGTTTCCTCTGGGTGCTCCGGTTTCCTCCCACTATCCAAAGATGTGCAGGCTAGGTGGATTGGCCGTGCAAAATTGCCCATGGTGTTCAGGGATGTGTAGCTTAAGTGGGTTATAGGGGGGATGCGTCTGGGTGGGATGTTCCACGGGTCGGTGTGGACTTGTTGGGCCGAAGGGCCTGTTTCCACAGTATAGGGATTCTATGATTCTATGATTCTTGAGCAATCTCTTCCTTTGCTTCCCATAGAGTTCGAGGGTACATCTGGTCAAGGCCTGAGGACTTATCCATCTTTAGGTGCTTTAAGACATCCAGCACCTCTTCTTCTGTAATGTGGACATTTTTCAAGATGTCGCTATTTATTTCCTCACATTCTATATCTTCCATATCCTTCTCCACAGTAAACACTGATGCAAAATACTTGTTTAGTATCTCACCCATCTCCTGCAGTTCCACATGTAGGCGGCCTTGCTGATCTTTAAGGGCCCTATTCTCTCCCCAGTTACCCTTTTGTCCTTAATGTACTTGTAGAATCCCTTTGGATTCTCCTTCACCCTATTTGCCAAAGCTATCTCATGTCCCCTTTCTGCCCTCCTGATTTCCCTCTTAAGTATACTCCTACTGACTTTATACTCTTCCAGGGATTCACTCGATCCCTGCTGTCTGCACCTGACATATGGTTCCTTCTTTTTCTTGACCAAAACCTCAATTTCTCTAGACATCCAGCATTCCCTACACCTACCAGCCTTGCCCTTCACCCTAACAGGAACATACTGTCTCTGGACTCTCACTATCTCATTTTGCTATGTATTAATCTTTGCTGAATGAGAGACAGCATTGTTTAGGCATTGATTGAATGCAGAAGTGCAGTGGACACAAGGCTTTTACATACCGCTGACCTTATTACCAAAGCTTACTTGAGAACAATGTCTCTTTGAATATGGCAGTGAGTGCTAATGGTATCTGACAGAAAGAACAGAGGGGTACAGGAATAAGAGAACACCCTTCACCAAACAGTTTAACCCAATCGTAACACCTGATAAATAAAACTACTTGTCATTAGTGACTGAATATGTACACTGAGGGCATCTTTAGTCTTTAATAAAACACAGACAGTTAACGAGATAAGTAAAACTCGGAATCCTGACCCCCACTCACATCCATTTGATATTGTGGCAGGGAAGGATCTGCCTGTATCGATAGGCATGGGATTTACAATTGGCCTGTGTGTGTGTGTGCGCCTTTGTGTGTGTGTGTGTGTGTGTGTGTGTGTGTGTGTGTGTTTCCAAATGCCGCCATGTTTCTGTGCTAATGACCTTATGTTTCTCACACTTGGACAGTGTTACACTACTGGAGAACAGAATATTTCTTATTAACATCCAATGTATGCAGTTCCAGGCAAGACAAAGCACCCTACTCCCCTGACACAGCAAAAGGTCTCAACTAAAGCATCAGTTGCCAAAACTTCCCACAGCATATAAAAACATGTAAAATGAATGCTCTTTGCTGTTCAACTCACTTGATGTGGGACCTTTACTGGCAAGGGGAATAATTGTCACCTCAATTTGGGCTGGGATCCACCCCAAGGTGTAAACTCAATGTCTAATCTAATTTCCCAATCGGATTTGGCACAATAAGTACTTATTCCCTAGCACTCTGCCAAAACATAATGGCGGAATGAAAGTGCATTGGATTAGAGTCAAATAAAGCTATAAATAGCCATTGAAACAACCCTTGAATGCTGCACAGTAATAATTGTACTTTGATAATAGTCTTGCGTCTAACGCTTGTCTATTAGACACCAGATATCACACTTTGTTTCAAACTTTATGAGAAAGGCTGGGCCTTTCCAGTTTGTTTTGCTTTGGCCTGTTGCCTAAGGTTTATGAACAGAGTACTGACTTGTAACTGATCACGGCTAGATTTTTGCAACTAACTACTAGAGTCATCGGTCTTAAAGTGACAGCCCAGATGACCAGTAAAACATCACAAGCATTGTCCCACAAGTGACATTGGAGATATTTGACAACGTTGCACATTAAACATTGGCAAAACTCAGGAGGCAGATTGCATTTGTCATGAAAGTCACTTTTCTAATGTCAGAATATATATCTTTAAATGATATTGGAATATATTTACCCCTCAGTAATTGTCATGTCATGAACAAGAACTCAATAAAGTTTGCCTCTCCAAAAAGGAGCTTTTGGAAATTAGCACCCTACTGATTGCGAAGCCAGAAAAGAACTTCAAATGAGTAGGAGTTCCCTGATCACAATTTATTCTCAAACCAAACTTGTGTTCGTATAAATGAAAGTACTGGATATGGATTGGGAAGTGGATTAAACTTGGGTTTATACCTTGCGTTGGAACGCTTTGTGGGCACTGGAGACCAGCATTTTCTGTTTTTATTGCATTTATATAAGATCTCAGAGCATGTAAAAGTGTTTTATGGCCAAAGTAATTTTGGCGTGTAGTCATTGTTGTAAAGTAGGAAGCCTGGCTGCCAATTTATGCACAGCAAGCTCCCACAAACAGCAATCAGATAATCTGTCTTTAACGCTGTTGATAGATTAATCATTTTGGCCAGCATTTTCAAGACAACTCACCTACTCCTCATCATGTCAGGGATAACATATATTCACCTGAGAGATCTCAGTTTAACTTTTCATCCAGAAAGACTGCACCATCTTACAGTGCAGAATGCTGCATCAGTATTGCACTGGAGCATTGGCCTGGATTTAGGGAGAGGTTGCTGGTTGCAGGTGTACAGAATGCTCACACTGCCTGCAAGCTGC